GACACTTGGGCCTACTCAGACCTGCTGAATCAGAGATCCCTTGGTGATTCAAACATTCAGGCCCTACTTGTTCGAAGCTTCAGTTTTAACCAGGAGAGATTGATCATAAGCCCATAAATGCAGTCAAGTTTTAGAGATGCTATGAGAGAGCTGTATTATAAGGCAGAAAGGAGCTGGCGTCTAAATTCCTGTGAATGTGTATAGGTTTTCATGGATGTTTGAATGAAGAAGAAAGAGAATGATGCCTTTTTTCTTTTCTTTTCCCTTTTACCATAGTAAATGAATCTAGACTTTAGTTGATGATTTGAGCTACATTGCTCTCTTGTTTTTCTGCTTCAATCACACAGAACCAGTACCTTTCCACTTTCTTTGCTGGTAAATTCTTGTATTTTCTTTCTTCCTCTAATGGGGCCCTTATTCATGAAGGGATAGAAAGTTCTGTACTCATGTGCCTTTCATATAACAATCCATGTTACTAGGATAACTTCAGTGGGTGACAACTCAGCACTACAAGCGTGCCACCTCTGCTTCTCAAGGCCACTCACATTTTACCTCTGCACTAGAGAGGGTAGCTTGGAAAAATATGTTGGGTTATCAGGACCTCTTCCTAACTTCCTTTTCAAGTTAATGGTATGCATAATAGGCTATTTTTGAAGTGAGGTGACATAAAGTAGCATTTGGGAATCAGGGATATAATATTTAATTTGTTTAACTTACCTTTTAACTGCCTAGTGGTGCTTCCTCTGACACCCCCCCCAAAAAAAAATAATAAATTGAACATTTAGCTGAATAATATGGGATGTTCTGGAGGAAATTAAGCATGATCCTTTCTAGCTTTTCACCAAGGCTGAGGAAGGATCCATTTTCAACTCTGTATTTTGCTAGCTGTATAACTTTGAGTAAACCATTTAACCTGGTAATTGATGAATAAATGTATTTTGCATGTGGTAGGCTTTTAGTGGTGAGGAAAGGGTAAAGAGGAAGCCAAGTTTGTAGACATCTGACTGTGACTACACTACTTCTTCTAAAACCAAATGTTTCTATCTCAGATTTTTTGTATCACTGCAATGCCCCGGTTGCCTGACACTATGTTCTTTTTGGCGGGCCTGTTTGTTTTGTTCATGTGCCTGTGATAAGCAAGGTCAGGAGTTCCATTTCAGGTTAGTGCACTGACCTGAAGGTCTATAGCTTAGCATTGTTAGTTGGAAGGTACTGCAGCTGATTCTGTTTAGCTGCTTTTCTCTGGGAGAGTTACTACCTAAGCATCTAAGACAGATGCTCTTTGATTATTTAAAAACAAACAAAAAACTTGGATAATTTGGTCAAAATATATAACTGAACAAAATATCACAGATTATTAGATGGGGTTATCACTAGGGCTTTTAAAAATCTGCCTAATTTTTCCTAGAGTATATAGTCAGGATTTATGATTTTTACAAATTACATAGACTAATTTTCTGTGAAAATTTGGAGTGTTCATGTGGTTTGTGTGTTCCGTTCTTCTACCTTTGTACTATGATCTCCAAGAGTCATTCAGTTCTGGTCCTGTTTAATGCTAACAGTTCTCTGTGATATAATAGGATTTGCTGAAGTTGAAGAAAATGCTCAGAAATCTTCTTTAATGTTGGATATAGGAGACATAAGTCTGGATAGGACATTTGAACCTGAAAATTAGTCTGTGAACTAGTATTTGGTTATCATGTCTCCATCAACTTTGATCTCTTTTGCTGATCACTTATGAACTCAATTGCATTCCTCTCATACGCTATTATGACTTTTTAAAGGAGTTGGTGACAATTTAATAGATGATATATATATATAATTACAGTGTTTGGCCAAATGAAGGCAAAGGGAATTTCTCAATCCTGGTTGTACACTAGAATCAACTGAGTTTTAAAGGAATACTGGCATCTGACTCTTCTCCCCCTTTCCTTTCCCTACCCCCAAGATCCTAATTGAATTGGGTGAGATGGAATTTTGGTTTCAGTGTCTATAGAAAAGCTTTCATGGTAACTTTAGTTTGTAGGCAATGTTTAGAACTATTGGCTGGTTTTTATGCAAGGTTTATTAAACTTATAATCCTAATAAGGCTATGGACAAAGTATATCTTGAAATGAGTACACTCAGAAGGGTAAGAGAAGTGGAAATGTTTCATTATGACACATATCCTTGAACTTTACTAATCCTATGGGGTTTAACATAGAAATAACAATGTGTTACTTTGCCTAATGCAGTGTTTCTCAAAGTGTGATCCCATGACCATTAGCATCAGCATTACCTGGGAAGCTTTAGAAATGCAAATTATTGGGTCCTACCCCAGACCTACTGAATTAGAAAGTCTGGAGGTGGGGCCCAGCAATCTATGTTTAAATAAGACCTTCCAGAGATCCCAATGAACCTTAATATTTGAGAACCATCAGAGAGTTTTATAGGTGTGAGAGGTAGTGGATGAACATCTTAGCATGCTGTGCATATCAAGAGTCCAAAAAGCAGAGTATCCTAAAGATAGTGTTTGACTGCTTGGCAGTATGAATATGGTGAGAAACTAGAGCTCCTAGACTGTAATTTACAGGGTAAATGGAGCCCATGTGAGCCATTTGAAAGGTGTGTCAGACTAACCAGTCCGAGTTACCATCCTTCCATTGTTCAATTTTGACTTTCCTTTTTCTGAAGATTTAAATTGTAATGCTTTGTACTATCCTAAAGCAACCAACTGAGTGATAGCAACTGCTGCCCCATAACTAAGTATTAAACTGCTTAAATGTAAGGAACAGTTAATTATCTATAAATAGAGTAAAGAATTTTCCCATAACATCTAAAATATTTATTTATTTATTTATTTACTTATTGCAACAGGCATTTATTTGAGATCAAAGAATAGCGATTCAGAAAGCATACTTTAGGCAGAAGCTCAAAAATGTTTCAATTAGGAGACAAAGGCAATAGTATTTATGAGAAAGGGAAAGGAAACAGTTACATAAATGGAAGGAATGTGTTTCTATTGGTGTAGATAACATAACATATTGATGCTAGCTCTAAACAACTTAAAATTTTCAGTGCCCTAGTTATCATCAGTAGGTTGTCATCATATCTGCTTTCTTGTTATCCTTGGAAACAGTTCTTTGGGGCACAGCACTGCTTTAGGCATAGTGCAGAAGTTATTTTGCCCTGTTTTAACATTCTTTTTTTTTTTTTTTGCTTTTTTAAAATTTAATAAATCTTTATTGTTCAGATTATTACAATTGTTCCTCTTTTTCCCCCACATAGTTCCCCTCCACCAGGCTTTTATGCCACTCTCTACCCTTACCCTCACTCCCCATTGTCCTCATCCATAGGTGTACACTTTTTGTCTAGTCTCTTCCCGCCCACCCGACTCCTCTATTCCCCCAAAAATTGTCAGTCCACTTCCTTTCTATACCCCTCATTCTATTATATTCACCAGTTAATACTGTTCATCAGATTTTTTTATTCCTTGGTTGTAGGATTCACTTTTTGATAGATACATATTTGTTGTTCATAATTTTTACCTTTTCCTCCTCCTCCTCTTCCTCCTCCTCCTTCTCTTCCTCCTCCTCCTCCTTCTTCTTCCTCTTCTTAAAAAAATACTTTTCAGCATTTCATATAGTTCTGGTTTGGTGGTGATGAACTCCTTTAGCTTCTTCATATCTATGGCTAACCTACAGCAAAACATAGCTACTGACTGCTAATATGGCAAGGCGTCATCAGCGTCTTCCATCTCTGGCCTATTTCTCTTCTATCTTCATTCATGGCTGGAGCAGTCCTGTCAATTCCTCTCTGTTGCAGGAATCCACAGATTTCAGAGTTGTTTTCTGAAAATATAAAAACATACTGTCGACCAAAAAATAATAAAGGAATTTTTTCTATAAATTTGACTTTGGATCCTTTTTAATGTTTTGCCCAAACAATTTTCCTTTGGCTTGTTTTGACACCATGTATGTTTTACATGATTTTCTTGTAGTTAGCATTACAAATGAAAGTTAATTTTCTAATGTAAAAATTTTCTAGATGTAATTTATTGAAAGGATATTTTTCCTTACATTATATATATATATATCCCCTTTTTATTTAAATATTAGGAGGCTTTTGGAAATTTTTCAATGTAGTTTTGATAGCTTTTACATTTTAATTTTTTTTCATTAAAATATGACTGCTTTAGTTCATTACACGTTACACAATTTTACCATGAGATGAACTACCAATAAAAATTTTAGTTATCACTTTAGGAACAGTTTTTGTCCAGTACAATAAATTATTCTAGAACATTTGCTTATTTCAATTAGCCAATTTAAATTAACCTGAAAACTTGACTACTATTTTACTGTCAAATTTAATACTCTAACAACAATCTTATTTTACCCTGTAAATATTAATGGAAAGTATTATTTGCTTTCTTAAGTAGGCCCTGAGCAATCCTGGTGCTAAACTGGATTTAGATATAAAAATCCACTTCCCCACACCATGGGTATAAAACAACTCAAGCTTTGTTGCAGTGAGAGGGCACTCCTATTTCCAATTCTCTGTTACCTGCGTCCCAATTTGAGCTGGGCATGGGAAGCAAAGCAGCCATGGGGCAGGAGACCTCCTTCATAAGGGTTGAGGTTTCAGGTCCAGGCAAATCTGGCAGGGTGAGGGTCTGTGCCCTATCTCTTTTGGCCCCCAAGTTCTCTCCTGATGGATCAAGTCTTACATACTGCAATAATCCACCATCCCAACAACCTTCCTTGTTCTGGCTAAATGTCCCTGACTCCTATAGTGTATTTTTGATGTCACTTAGAAGTATAAATCTGGTCCTACATCTTCAGAAAGTTAAAGCTACTAACCAAAGTGAGAAGAAGTAGGATAGGGAATAATTATGCAAGGCAAAAAATCATGAGTCAATGCCAATTACAAGAAGCAAAATGACAGCTAATGTGTGTTTTGAAGAGTGCTTATAAGATTGCACCTATAGGAACTTCTTGTTTGTGTTTTTTTTTCTTTAGGTGATTTTCTTCCACCCCCACCCCCACCTCTAGATGACCCTGGTACTCTTCCATCTGTCTCTGGAAACTTCCCTCCTCCACCACCCCTTGATGAAGGTTCTTTCAAGGCACAGGTAAGATCTCTGGTTGAAGTGATGTTTATAAGCCATGATAAGAAGCTCATGAATTCAGTGATTGTTTTTATGGCAGGTATACATTCATCCAGAGCCCACAGAGAGCTTTATGACACAAAAAGCTAAGGCATTTTAATGCAAAACACCCAACTCAAGCTTCTAAGAGCTTAAACTCCCAAGCCTTAGAAATCCTTTTACCTACTCATTTGTTTCAAAACTGAAAGCCATGTTTTAGGAATGTCATTTGAGAAGTTCATATGTTCTTATTATCCTGGTGACACACACCAGAAAATCACCTACAGAAAAAAAAAATCCCACATATTTTTATTGCCTGTTTTTCTTTATTCACAAACATTGCATTCTATGTGACTAAGGCTGATATTTTAAAGCTCTGGTTTGTCACTAGGTCCTAATGGTCAGTGGTATCTTTCTAGCAAAAGCAGCAGCAAATGTTTGTAGGATTTTCTCTTCTGAGTGGGTCCATGATGCACATGGCACAATATTTTGATTATATAATATACAACAGTTGTGCTCCAGAGACTGGTGATTGTATTTGGCTAGAATAGGGTACAACATTAGAAGCAGGCTCATTGGTGACCACTTGCCATCGCTTAGGAAACCAAATGCTTTCTATTCATGTCAGGGAGGACACATACATAACACAATCAAATAATTATTGTTAGTTTTTAGGGGTGATGTGGTTACTCCAGATAAGGTGCAGAAAATCACACAACAGTTCTTACCTTTTAGAGAAACATTGGAAATATTTGAGGAGAAGTGAAATGGTATTTGATATTTGTTAGGAAAGAATAAGAGTAGGTATTTTGTGAGAATACAGGTAAAAAAAAGTTTAATTATGAGTTGATAATTATTGGATGCTGGAGGTTTATTCTATTTGGTCGACCTTTAAATGTTTAGATTTTCTCACCTTTAAATGTTTAGATTTTCTCAAAATAAGTTTTAAAGAGGAAGCATTAGGAAATAACCCATTGTTTGGTCCATTATCTATCTTTCTTTGTCCTACATTTTTGGGTTTGGGGAGATACAGGAAGAAATGATTCATTCATTCAATGAATTTTCTGTGTGAGCACCCTAAAAACACTAGGAGTTCTATAGCAAAAATGACACAGTTTTGTTCTCAAGACACTTTATGTTAGTAAAACTAGATAAAAGTAATAAAATACATACAATACAAAGTACATTAGAATTGGATCAGTTCTATGGATTGAGGAAAGGGTATAGGATACAACTATCGGGGTGGACATGGTAAAGTGATATGTAAAGAAGGACTTTGAGTAGGAGAGGCAAGAATGAGCCATTGGATTTTTTCATTCTTTTTTTCCTTTAAAAAATATATTTTATTGATTTTTTTACAGATATGAAAGGAAATGGATAGAGAGCTAAAAACATTGATGAGAGAGAATCATTGTCCAGCTGCCTCCTGCACACCCCCCACCTGGGATGTACCCACAACCAATGTACATGCCCTTGACCGGAATCGAACCTGGGACCCCTCAGTCCAGAAACTGATGCTCTATCCACTGACCTAAACTGATTTTGGCTTTCTTTCTTCCTTTCTTTCTTTTTTTTTTTGGGGGGGGGTATATTTTCATAAACTAGATCTTAGGAAATAGAAGATGCCTCTTTTTAAATTATTATTATTTATCAGTTGTAGTTAAGTTCCTAGGCTAGATCCCAAAAGACTCTTCTTCTTTTTTCTTTTTTTCTTTTTTTCTCTGCCCAGCTGGCATGGCACAGTGGATTTATCCCATGCACCAAGAGGTTGCTTTTTCCATACTGGGCTGTAAGCTCAATCCCTGTATTGGGTGTGCAGGAGACTGTCAATTGATGTTTCTCTGTCATTGATATTTCTATCTTCTCTCCCTCTCCCTTCATCTCTCTTAAAAATCAATAAAACAAATTAGAATTTTTTTCATATAAAGATTACGAACTCCTATACCTTATCTTATTTTAAGCTGGTAAAAATAGATCAGATACTAATAATGGACAGGAGTCTGACAAAGTTTATATTTAGTTTATGCATCTGAGAGATCCCTTGCAAATGGAAACAAAATGATCCTTTTTATTTTTTGTAATCATTTATTAAAATGGAAATAAAAGCTTTAAAGCCTTTTGTATACTTTTGCTTTTACTTTGTGGACATTAGTTCTTGGCAAATTTAATTTACTCAAAAGCTTCACTTACTCAATCTTTTCTGTTGATTCATCATTACAGAAACTATTTTGTGTTTTTTTGTTTTGTTTGTTTTTTTTTTCATTTACAATCTTTATTTCTAAAAAGTTTGTTTGATTTTGTGAAAGAAGACTTGTGTTTGAATAATATTTGAGCAGCTTATCCCTGTAATGCTATTTTGAGCCAGTCACACTGAGTCCCAAAATCTTCATAATTAACAATAAAGCAAACATATCACATCTAATAATTATATAAATTACAGATGTATTTGAATTTCTAAACTGTAGTGGCTTTACAATATTCTGATACTATAATTATTACTATATAAAAATAACAACAGCTAGAATAATAGTAACAAGGCCTTGTTAAAGTGCTCCATTAAGAAAAATTTGAAAAGTCCTGAAATTATAAAAAGTCTTGTTCTGTAGGGACCTTGTCCTGATATCTGTTCTGAAATCACAACTTTGTTTTTAAAAAGGAAGGAAATAAACAAAAAGCCTGTTGCCATGTTGGCTTATGTTCTCTGCAAAACAGAAGGAATAAGGATAAAAATAAAATTGAGTTTGCCAAATGGAAAAAGACAAATCTGGTAGGCAGAGGCCTGCAAATTCTTGAATATATGAAAGACTACAGATGTGTTAAAAAGGAAATGGGTGTGCCCTTCCCTGTGGTTTAATGATAGGACAGATTAGTGACTTGGCTCTATCTGTATCCCCCTTTAGATAGGAGCTATGTTGTACCCTAAAGTCATATGGCCCTCATAGACATTTTTTTCTCTTACTGTATGGTGAAACCTCCTGTTGCCAAGTCCAAATTGTAGCTGGTAGATGTGTGTTTTTCTGTAGAATTCTGTTTAAGTGTTCCAGCTGAATTTTCAGGTTGGAGCCAAAAGAATGTCTACTAAGTGTGACAATAAGAATGAAAAGATTTTCAGAGCTGGAAGGAACCTAAGATATAATTTAGTTCATCCCTACAACCGCCATCTAGCTAAGACCTTTTGCAATACTGGTCCTTGTTAACTGAGTTCCTCTCTGTACAAATGGAAAAACTGAGACAAAGAAGGTGTATACGATGTAGTTTCTGAATGAACTCTTAATGAATCCGAGAAATTGTGACTCCTGGATTTGTTCTTCTCACTGGGTGCATGTTTTTGCTTTAGTCCTCTGTCTGGCTCTGAGGTTCAGATGAAAGGGTTTCCTGCTTGCTGTTTGGAAGGACCAGGTGCTGATGGAGTTCTGCTTGACTCACTGAATGTATGCTATTTGCTGTAGACTTTCTTTTTCTTTGAAAAGGGCAAATAGTTAGCTTCAAGAATTATTGTGTTGACAGTTCTCATTTTTATGAAAAAAGATGAGAGTCTTAGAAAACAAATAAGACATTTTCTGGTTGTTTCTATCAGAGTCAATTTGACCTCTATGTCTGTAAGGTTTGGAGTGGGCATTTAGCAGTCACTTCATTCATTCACTGTTCTTCATTTACTTGCTATAAATTGAATATCTTCTCTAACTCAGTGATATATATTAGAGATTATAACCTTAGAACTTGACATCAAGGATCTAGAGTTTCAACTGTTGACCTGTTAGCTTTGTTCTGAGCTGATGCCACAGTAGGTAATTTCCATTTCAGCAACAATTGGTAGGTAAATTGCATTGTTTAGAATAGTTTCAAAGTTGGCAGGGGGTAGGGGGTAGACAATGTGTCATAAAATTTCAGGTTTGCAAGAGAATTAGAGGCCTTAACTCAAGTCCCTTTCTGTTGTTAGAATCTCCTAATTTTTTTCTTCAATTTTGTAAAATGCTTATGGGTAACTGTTATAGGTAAGGTTATATTTGAAGGATGAGATGGATCAGCTACCACCTCTGAATCAAGTTTGAATATGTTTCCTCTAAATTAAGGTGTTTCGTGGTAAATTATGCCTTAGTCATCATGCTTTGATCAAAAGCACAATCTAAGACTTATATTGTGGTTGAGGGTTAGGGATATAAATTAACTCTGGAGATATGCAAGAAAGATTTTTGGAAATAATTTCAATTGAACTGAACTTTGATGGCTAAAAAAGACCTTTATTTCAGATGGGTGATTGGAATTTTCAGTAATGAGGTAATAAGAGTAGCAGTACAAAGGAGGGAAACACAAAGTAAGTGTGAAAAGTCTACATCTCTGGCTGTGAAATTTGTCCTTTATTCTGGAATAATTGACCATATTTTTCAGGTCTTTGTTACTATTTTAAATATAAGGATGACATCCCCAGGCCTGTGTTGGTTGCCAAGAGTTTCTTTTAACACACCATAAGAAAAATTGTGTTGACTTGTGGGAAACCCCATGCAGACAGCTCTGATTGTCTGGTTCACTTCCTTGAGCTCCTTGGGGACATATCTGTTGATACCTGATGGTTTTGGGTTCAGGTGCTGCATATTTAACTTCCTCTTTTTACATTTCTACTTCACTATTTTTTCATGACCTTCAATTGACAGCATTTAACTTTGCCTCTCACATTGTGACTCAGTCTTGTGGCTTGCTTTTACTTGCCTAATATCCAGTGGTTTTACATCTTCAGTGTTTATGTCCCTTATTCTATTCATTCAGGCAGGGTGGCCATGTGTGCCTACTGTAACTCCAGTCCCTCCACCTGATAAAACAGACTATTTTGTCCATTCAGAGCTAGTTATTCCAAATAGTGATTTTTTTTCCTCTTATTGAATAGAAATTTATCCCTTTATGATTTTCTCACACAGATTTTCTTCCTAACCTCTTAGAAAAGAATGTATATTTCAATGTACTTCCAGCCAGGAGAGAATTAGCTAATG